GAAAACACTGTGGTGAAAACACTGCGGTGAAAACACTGTGGTGAAAACACTGTGGTGAAAACACTGTGGTGAAAACACTGCGGTGAAAACACTTAGGTGAAAACACTGTGGTGAAAACACTGAGAACACTGCAGTGAAAACACTGGTGAAAACACTGAAAACACTGTGGTGAAAACACTGGTGAAAACACTGTTGAAAACACTGTGGTGAAAACACTGGTGAAAACACTGCGGTGAAAACACTGTGTTGAAAACACTGGTGAAAACACTGTGGTGAAAACACTGGACTCTTCTGTATCGTCATCAGTAAGGACCTGAAATGAGCAGAACATTTAAACCAGGTTGATATGAAGGCTCACAGGAGGATGTTTGCACTTTGAGTGCTTAAAAAGCCAAACAGCTCTACTGAAATATGTGCCCAGTTCTACAGAGCCACCACTGAGGATCCTGACCTTCTTACATTCAATGTTTTACTCTGGTTCCACTGTCCACAATAAACATCAACTTGATTGCATCATCAAGCTGGTAAACTGACTGGAAAACACCAGCAGCCAGTGATGGAGCTGCACAGTGCCAGAGTCATGAGACAAGCCTGAGGTTCTCTRCTGTCAGAACAAAAACCAGCAGAAACAAAAATAGTTTTTCCCCCCACTCCTGTCTCCCTTCTTAAAACCATTTACTTCTCCTGCACTGCAACCAAGAAAAACTCCTGTGTGCAGATTGCTGTTCATTAGGCAAAGTAAATAGGATTGATTGAGAGCACTTATAAATAAAAAATTTTCAGTGAACACAAATATATATTTTAAATTGCCCATCTTTATGTTTATTTGTGTTTAATTGTGCAACTCACGCACAGTGGAACATTATAGTACTGAGAGCAGTCCATTAAATACAAATATTTCTCATCTAACAGAACTATTTTTACAAAATACAGACAAATTTCAGCAGTTTTGTTTTTTAATCCATGGTTATAAAGATTTTGTTTGATAAACTCTTGTTTTTAACATCAGTTTACTTGTTACTAAAATCACAAAAAACACCATACATTTGTTTTATTTCTATTAATAGAAAGGAAATGTTTGGTCAGTTTACTTGTTTTTGATAGTTGAAATAAGAAAAGTATTGAAATTGTTCCCTTTAAAATTGTTTGTAGGTCGTACTGAACCAACCAAGCAAGCTTTTCCTTACTTTTAGCCTTTTGCAGAGCTAGCATGAGCTTAAAAAACAAGCTAGCTAGAACAAGTTTAGCTGTTTTTTAAAATAATTTTACACTACTTAATTTGACATTTTGCTTCTGTTTCTAATGGCTAAAACAATAAAAATATCGATGTTTGTTAGTCATACTGAAACAAGCTAGCTTTTCCTTTCTAGCTTTTTGCACATTAGCAGCTGATAGCTTCAAATACTAGTGGAAACAAATTTTGCCATGATTTATGGAAACAAATTATATTGAAAGTATCTTTCTTTTTACTGCTTAAGTGTTGTTTTGATTCTTGTGGAAATGTAGTAATATTTAGCTTTAAAAATGTTTGTAGGTTATAGAAAACCATGCTAGCTTTTTATGCAAAGCTACTTTATAACTGTAAATTTAGGAAGCAGCCATGATTATATTACCGTATCTCCAATTTAAAAATACATCTTGGTACTATAATGCAACTGTTGTCTCATATATAATGGCTGGATATACAGTGGTTTGCAAAAGTATTCATACCCCTTGAACTTTTCCATATTTTGTCACATTACAACCACAAACATAAATATATTTCACTGGA